GAACCCGCATAGCAAAAGCCGAGAAGGAATGATCAGCCACGTTTGTCAATCTGCTCCTACCGTCTGCACTATCAGCTAAGTTCAGCGTCAAGCTAGAACGATCATGACTTATCGTGCCTCTTAAGCATCGAGAAGGTTACTCTTATGAGGAGCGACAATGTCTGTACTGTGTCGCAATGTACGCTGTTCATCTGTTGTACAGTTGTACATATAGATTCAGGGACGACGAACAACCACGGAGCATCGCCGAGGCATGCGGAGATCTTTCCGCTCTTTGGTGGAGCCCTCAGGCCAAAAACTACGTCAGCGATCAGGAGGTTTCTCACGATTTGACGATTCTAGGGACCAAGTACGATGGGTAATTGAGTGGTGGTTAGCAAGAATATATTTTCTCTTCAAGGGCTGTCATTTGGTCCAACTATACTGGATTGGGGTGTAGGTCGATAGATGGCTTTGAGTTCCCAGCTATGACGAGACTTGACCCTTTGCCCTGGACAAGGGTCACTTGCACCATGGCATCCTCCTGGCTACTTTGAAAATTACGTACCATATGATAGCATAGCGTGACTCATATTTTGCTGCTATAGTCTTGCAATGTTACGGTCAAGGCAGGGACAAAGTATGATATGCCACGTGACTGGTTAGACGATTTAATCTTGCCTGAGGCATCGACGCTCAACCCGGTTCCTCGTCTACCTAGAGAGGCAGGCTTACCGGCCAAAATAGTTCAGGCACACAAGTCCCTGATACCTCAATTTGAACCGACGAGTCGCTGCTGACCATACCAGAGCATCTGTGGCTGTAACAAAGAGCAGGGTGCTGAATCCTCTGATGCATGCTCTTGGTGTAGACAATCTGTTCAGATTATCTGGAATCGGTAAAAATCTTTGGAGCCTCGGGGCAATAGGAGCTAGCACCGCGACCGCTATAGATTGTTGGCGACCACGTCTCTGTCAGCCGCACCGATATCTTTATAGCAAATCAGGTATGTCCCAGTCCCGACTCGGGATGATGGCCTTGCTGCACACATGTGGTCTAGGTCTGACTCATTCCCGATCTGTCCCAGGACCTTAAGACGGAGCCGTGAGACTTACTCCAATGCAGCAGCTTCTGGTGGATCACTCACAAATCTGCATACCATTTCTAGCTCTTGTGCATTGAAGAGAAGAAAATTCGAATTCAACAGGTTCTCGACTTCAGCAAACATGGGCGACTCAAGCAAACCTATCCGATATGTTGATGTCGGTAAACTCATTGCGAATATACAAGAATATCCTTGTATATTAATCACTCGCTGATGACCACGCTAGATCGGAATCAATCTCAGTGACCCTGTCTTCATGGGTAACTACCATGGAAAGCAAGTTCATGACAACGACATGGATGACATTGTCCACCGAGCTCAGGATGTGGGTTGCGAGAAATTCATGGTGACAGGCTCCGACTTGGAGGAGTCGCGGCGGGCTATTGAGATTGCACAGAAGTATCGTATGTCCTTCCCAATATACTTTCATCTGTATGCAACCTGACGTCCTCTGCAGCGGGGTTCTGCTATGCTACGGTTGGAGTTCACCCGTGTCAGGCGAAGCTCTTTGATGAACATCCTGGCGGACCTGCAAAAATGCTAGAGGAGCTTAGAACGCTAGTGTTGGAGGCCAAAGCATCGGGCCAAGCTGTTGCGTTTGGGGAGTTTGGTCTAGATTACGATCGACTTTTCTTGAGCGCAAAGGAGCCCCAGTTGAAATATTTCGAAGCTCAATTGGACCTGGCGGTGGAGGTGCAACTCCCTCTCTTTCTTCATTCCAGAGCTGCCAGCGAAGATTTCGAACGTCTTCTGGCGCCTCGCCTTGAAAAGCTTCCGAAGAAAGGCCTCGTGCACAGTTTTACTGGAACACTCGACGAGATGAATCGAATGGTTGCCCTAGGTCTCGATGTCGGTGTTAACGGCTGCAGTCTGAAAACGGAGGAGAACCTGGAAGTAGTCAAGGCCCTGCCACTTGAACGGCTTCAGATTGAGACCGATGGTCCTTGGGTATGTGTTTTACCTAGGATTTCCCAAACCTTTGATTGACATTTACTGTTCAGTGTGAAATCCGTCCCTCTCATGCATCTGCGAAGTATCTCGAAGGAGCCCCTCCGCTTCCCAAGGCTGTCAAAAAGGAGAAATGGCAAAAGGGACTTATGGTGAAGGGTCGCAATGAGCCTGCAGCAATCGCCCACGTTGCGCATGTCATCGCCAAAGTAAAAGGCATCACTGTCGAGGAAGTTTGTGAAGCGTAAGTCCATTCTCTTTCTATTACCCTCTTCTCGCTTTTCGATGTGACATGGAATATTGATTCAATGAGCAGCGCATGGAATAACTCAATCCGGATGTTTGGGCTTGGTGTTGATACACCATAATTTTGTTCATGATATTTTTCCCGGTCGTTGCCCAATCCAGGGGAGAACACCGTCCCGCAAATTATGAATACAAGATCCTTAGATATAGAAGAGACGAGGCAGTTTGCACGAGAATATTATCAGTGAAAGCTACTTGACCTGTGTCGATAAGAGTACCGTCCCTAATTCTTTGTTGCCTCATCCTGAAACCTTGGATCGGTGGTGTTCGGACCACTACCACTGCGAACCACGGTCCTTGCCTGATGATTCAACACCAGTCAGAGCTGTCTGACGGAATACTAGATCAGCTCAGCGGGTGTCTAATTAGCTAGCTAACTATTGTCGAACCTCTCTTGTGGTGTGGCATGATAGATCCGAGGCAGCATGTCATTCTTCCATACAGTATGTGCCCGGAGGAACAGGCAACTTGGAAGTGAGGCTAACATACCTTTCTTAATTCCTTGCCCCTCAAACCTCAACTAGTCATTCTACATTCACTGCACAGCACTTGTTGGCTCGCCACATGTGCTTTGCCTTCTAGAAAGTTGCTTGGTATGATTTACGTCGGCTTATTTTCTGATGACATTTTGGTTTTTCCTGGCTCACCGCCCTGTACTGTACCTGTAGTCGCACCACCACCACCACCACCCTTGCTCTTGTCTCTTTCCTTGTTTACCTTTCTACGTGAATGTAGTCTTCTTCTCTCCAACTCTCTCAAGAACAACAACCTCGACTCTCCAGACCTCACCTTCTGACCCGTCTAAACCCGGTCCCTCATACTGGTCACCATGTCTTCTTTTTCTAAAATCATGTTGGCTTGAAGCTTGTGGGTTAGACCCTTTCGAGTCTATCACCAACCTCTCTCTTAGCAGATCTCGCGCTGTCGCTGTTTAGTCAGATCTTGCATGAGAATCCTTCTTTCGTGGTGCATTGGATCCGTCTATCTCTCTCTCTCTCCCCGAAATTCAGCTTTTCATTGGCATTCTATCGGTTCATAGTGCCCCCTGAGCTCTCTTATCCATTCGTTTATCAGGAAGTCGAGCCAGACAGCGACAGGGAACTGGCAATCTAACACAATGACGTCTCCGTTAACGACTCAGAGCTCCAACAGCTCTCTCCAGAGCGTTTGTGGTAGGTTGTTTGTCTTTTCTGTGGGAACATCGATCATGTTCACACTCCTATCCGTATTGTTCAAGTTGCACTAACCTTCACAGAATCAGTGCGTCGCAGGGCATCCTCGATGGGAAATGAATTCATGCCGTCAGAATTCCCTGAGAATTTTGGAGAGGTTGTTAAAGGTGTCTATCGATCTGCTTTCCCGCAACCGTGGAGCTTCTCTGCGCTCAAAAAGCTTGGCCTTCGGACTATAGTGTATGTGGGCCATTCGTGTGTCTGATCCCTGCTCACCACCCCTCAGCACTTTGGTAGACGAGCTTTATACGCCAGAGCACATGAGCTTCCTCAAGGAAATGGGGACCGCGCACATCCGTATCCTTGTCGAACCCAACAAGGATCCTGCAGTCAAGTCTCCAGACTACGTTATCTGTCAGGTATTGGAAGTCTTGCTCAACAAGGCCAATCACCCTGTCCTTGTCCATTGCAACAAGGGAAAAGTAAGACTTATTCAGTGTGTTATACGAGCTTGGCTAATCGAAATTGCTGCAGCATCGTACCGGCTGTGTGGTCGCCTGCTTCCGCAAGATTCAAGGTTGGCGCATTGAAGATGTGCTGGCTGAGTATCAGACATATTCGTTCCCTAAGTCAAGGCCGCTGGATCAGAAATTCATCATGGCGTTTGACGCCTCCCAGCTCTCTAGCCTGGCACAGATCTCTGGCGTGAAAATGTGGCAGTCTGCCAGTCTGCCGAAGGCATTATCTGAAGAGAATGCCAAGGATCAGGCCTCATCCTCGAGTCGGCTTCTACCCTCTCTGGGCAAAATATACGTGACTTGATAATCCTATGTCGATGAAACTCACGCCGTTTTTTTCTGTCATCTGTGGTGTGCCTGGTCATCGCGAGTAGTCGGTGGTCTAACAACGCACGGTTTTCAGCTAGGTCAATGTCGTTGCAATCTTGGCCATGAAACCGGCTGATGAATCACACCACCTAGCTCTTGTCGCCTCTCGTCCTGCATCAAAATCTACACTTTTGATTAGAACACTGGCCATCAAGGAAAGGCTTGTGTACCCAGAGCGAGAGCCGCTCAAACTCCGCAGCGCTCCGCGATGTCTAGAGGCTCCATCAATTTGACTGCTTCTGGAAGGGTTGGATGCACGATATACCCAGTCATCATTTAGTTACCCATGTGATTTTGATATTGTGGATGGGTGCATGGCAGGGATGTGTCAGAAATTCTAGCCTGAGATCAAGAGAAGCGAATCGTAGAAAGACAATAGACCTGGAGAAGGACAAGTTGTAGGCCATAGTACACTAATGTAGAGAATAATCCACATTGATTGACAGTTTTGAGCGAACATATCTAAGCTAGTTGTTCTGAGTAGCTTTCTAACAGTCATTTCCGTGTCTTTGATTGTTTTTCTTTGAGCTGTTGGCAAACATATGCCATACTATACCATACTACGAGTGATTCTCAGTGGCGTTCAAGTTCACTATTTGAGTTGTGATCATAGAATCTTATACATCATGTCATCATCTTCTTCGAAATCTTCAATGTCGGATATGAGTGCTAGAAAACCTGGACAAGGCGATTGGCTCGCAATGGCTGGCTCCATTGAACCTCTTTCTGTGGTGTCCCACGACCTCTCATTGACAGAACATGTACAGTTCTCATCAACTGATAAGAGAGAGTTTGTCTGGGATGTGCAATCAAGCTCGAAATAGTCCTCAGTGCCTAAGTAGTCCTCAGAAGCCATGTCGACTTTCTCGGTAGCAGCGTGGTTGAAACAGTTCGGGACCTCTTCCGTCGAACCAGTTATTAGGAGAGATTCATGAGCATATGCTTCGTCCAAGTCTGTAGGATTGATCTCGTCCAATCGGCTCAGCTTCTGTGAGGCTTCTGCCTTGTAGAGTTGTTTTTGAGCAAGAGTCCAGAATGCCGCGTGGATAATGTTTCCCATATCTACTGCCGTCAATGGGAGACTGTCCGGTACGTATGCGACCTTCATACTGCTGACAATCTGTCGCAAAGAATGATTCATGGGTAGCTTCAACATGGATGTCAGGGACTTGACGAGCGATGTGATAAGCAGCGAACGTTGGCACATTGCCTGCAACATGATTAGTAACCCAGATACTATGAGTGTCTCAGGAAAGCAGATTACTTCACTGTACCCAGGGCTAAAGACTGACGGCGCCATTCTTGAAAGACTTTGCAATTGTACCGTCGCTGGATCCGGCTCTGTTTGTCCTTGCTCATGACTGTTGCCAATCAACAGGTAGCTCAATCCGGCACGAAGTAGGTGATGTAACGCTTGGTGGTTGGCGTTGCAGCTTCTAGCTGCTGGTTCTGTGGGAGGGCTTGAGAGGACGGTGCTGTCCGGGCTATTATCCATATCTGCAAGCTCTTCTGTGAAATCTCTGGTATCAGAGAATTCCGGAATGTCCCCTTTGTCGAGCTCTGAAGACTGGAAGGTAGTAGATTCTAGCACCAGTTCTTCGAACTCAGGACTCGGTGCTTTCCATGCCATTTCTCCGAGACTCGCCATGATCAGCGCGGGAGGATGTGGCTGCACTTCGGGATCTGTGGGCATGAAATCTAGATTTATGTTGATTGTAGATATACTGATAGTCTCGATGTATGGCGGAGGGATAAGATCCCCTGGTGTCTGCATAGCCCTTGGAACTCTGCGGCTCACTGTTGGTAAGAGAGCAGGTTGTGTGAGCGATCTTCCAATTCCAAAGGCTAATTGAAAGCTCGGGGGGGTTTTCTGATCGAAATATTCGCAGCTTTTGTACATGATAACCAAGCCTAATTCTTTCCAGAGCTGAGAGCCAGAGTTGTGTTAGCAACATCTTTAGACTCATCTTGTGAGGAGTATGTTACTGTGATTACCTTTGCATTGCAGAGCATCTCCCCCACAACTGGCACAAATGTGGAGACGGTGACATTGGGTATGTTATGAGCATTGATGAATAAGTTCAGTTTGATCTCTGGTGCTTCAGTCACCCAAGCCATTCTCATGGTCATGAGATGTATGAGATGCATGTCGCGTGCGGCAATTTGGGGTCTTCTGCGGGATTGTATGAATATGGAGACATTCATTGTGAGAGTCGAAGTTGAGTCTGAGGAATGGAAATCGGCTCTGCCTAGGTCTATTGTTGCTTCCATTTTCGATTGTCTGATGTGAACTGAGTTAGTTGGGGAAAGGTGCCTATATTCAAAGCATATACATAGTCGATGGTTTGACGAGGATAGATGCCTGGTGCTCAATGAAGCAAATACTGGCAAAATAAGTAAGTGTCTCAACACAGCGTCACCCGACTGCCAAGAAGTGTATATCTATTGCTTGTATCTGAAGCTATCAGCCCACACGCTCTGTATTCTACTTTGCGCCCTCGTCCAGAATAAAGATCGAAAGATAATTGATAGCTTTTTTCCTGTGCTTCGTCTTACATCATAGACTTGGCTGCCGAGGCACCAATACGATAAGTGAATCGAGACTATACAACTAGAGGTAAGAACTCCTTTTGTGCCACGTGAGCACCGTTCAAGCGAGTATTTCCAAGTTCCAAAACTCCAGTCGTCAAATATTACTGCGCAAGATTGACAGAAGTTGGGCAATAATATTTGTACACAACTGACAGTCCCTCAATGCCCAGCTACGTTGGCTTGTTGACATTTATTTTTAGAGCTGCTTATCGATAAGAGTATCACGTGCCTGGGGGTTTGATTATCTGGCCCCTAGACATCCTCCGCATCGAGGAATCTCGAATTCAGAAGTCCAACAATCAGCGATGCCCAGGGATGAAGGTGAAGATCATTTCCTGGCGGACAAAGATAGCCCCAATGGGCTGGATTCCCAGCCCCTTCTGTCACCCGTCGAGGACCACGAAACTACAAACCATGCGAATCCCGCCAGCGCGACCCGCAGCAGCAGCGGACAGCAGCCGCATCACTCCTCTATATCCCAGCCGGTCCCAGAAGGACAACGACGCACCCCTCGTACCATGAACCGCGTTCGCTTCGACCTGGAGGAAGAAACGGACGAAGAGCGTCGCTCGGAACATCACCCTCGCGATTCAGACGATATCTCATGGCTCGAGGAAGAAGACTATAGCCACGGCGACGGCCGGCGGCGCCAGATGGTCCCTTTGTTGACGGACATCGAAGCCCCCAGTGTCACGCTCGCAACGTCCGATGAATTCTTCCCGGAAGAACACCTGGAAAGTGCTCGTCCAAGGAGCGGGATGCGCATGGCTTTCATGAATATGGCCAACAGCATCATTGGGGCAGGCATAATTGGACAACCTTACGCACTTCGCCAGGCAGGATTGGTGATGGGGTTGGTGCTGCTCGTCGGACTCACAGTCGCAGTAGACTGGACCATTCGACTTATAGTGGTCAACTCAAAGTTGAGCGGGGCAGATTCGTTCCAGGCGACCATGCAGCATTGCTTTGGCAAAAGCGGACTTATCGCAATCTCAGTTGCGCAGTGGGCTTTCGCTTTTGGTGGTATGATCGCGTTCTGCATCATTGTTGGGGATACAATACCGCATGTCCTGGGAGCCTTGTTTCCTTCGCTACGAGATATGTCATTCTTGTGGCTCTTGACCGACAGACGGGCCATCATCGTGCTTCTGGTCCTAGGAATCTCATATCCGCTGTCTTTGTACCGGGACATTGCTAAGGTTCGACATATAATGCTTTTGCAGCACTCCGAGACTCACAAGTTCATAGTTAGCAAAAGCATCCGCACTGGCCTTGGTCAGCATGGTCGTCATCGTGATTGCTGTGATCACCCAGGGCTTTAGAGTGCCCTCTGAATCCCGCGGCGATGTAAAAAGTCTACTGTTTGTCAATTCAGGCTTTTTCCAGGCTGTTGGGGTGATATCATTCGGTACGATCGCGTTCCAGATCCAGATCATATAACTGTACTAACAGTCCACAGCATTTGTCTGCCGTAGGTTATGTCGTTCAGGCCACATTACACTGGGACTAATAGCTTGGAAGACCATAACAGCCTCCTTATCTATGGCTCATTAAAAAAGCCGACACTAGATCGCTTCGCGAAAGTGACACATTACTCTACAGCAGTCTCCCTTCTGACCTGCCTCGCCATGGGTGTTTCCGGGTTTCTATTCTTTGGCTCGCAGACCCAAGGCAATGTACTCAACAATTTCCCCTCAGACAACATTCTGATCAATATAGCACGACTGTAAAGTCTTCTCGCCTTAATGTACTGAGACATCGCTGGGCTGACTTTTGCTAGATGCTTCGGCTTGAACATGCTCACAACTCTTCCGCTGGAGGCATTCGTATGTCGATCAGTCATGACAACCTATTACTTCCCCGACGAACCTTTCAACATGAATCGGCACTTGATCTTTACCTCTGCGCTTGTTGTTACTGCGGTTGCCATGGCTCTGATCACTTGTGACTTGGGGGCAGTCTTTGAGTTGATCGGCGCAACGAGCGCAGCGGCCCTGGCCTATATTTTCCCTCCCTTATGCTACATAAAGCTTAGCAATGCCTCTCAGAAGGCTAAGATACCAGCCTATCTATGCATTGTTTTCGGGGTAGTCGTGATGGCAGTCAGTCTGCTTCAAGCTGTTGCGAAAATGATAAGTAGTACGTTCACTGCTCACCCGACTAACAGCATGCATCCTGCTAATCAACTCAACCACATTCATAGATGAAGGTGGTGCAAGTACCTGTGCTGCCTAGGCAAGGTACTATAAAGGCAATTAGATCTTGCAACCTTGCTTCTGCTTTACTGATGTCGTATAACTGATAGACTTTATTCAATCCCTCATTCGCAAATTATGTACATAGAGAAGTGTATTAACAAGGTGAATCATTCTGTTCAGGGGCTCGGAAAAGGAGCTCCATGGACTCATGTGAAGCAATCTTCCCTCTGGGAGCGACACAGATACCTAGATTTTGTGTAGGGACAAAATGGTCTTTCAGTATACTATCATCCTTCAGATACTGATTTTCTCCTAGAAGCAGTCTTTGATTCATGATCAATCTCAGTGGATGCAATGAGAGGAACAGATGAGGCAGCGCACTACAAGGTCTAGGTTTTGGTGTGAATTGCGATGTTGTGCGCGTTTGCATGGTAACGCAGTTAACAGTTTCCACTCCCTGTTTCTGCTCCCTGCCTCCTGACCCCACCACTGTCCTCTTCATCATCTGTTTTCGCATGTGTTCCAATTTTACCCTTCTCGTTACTTCATCATTCATTCTACTTCTAAAAAGAGGGATTGGCTCTGTTTCCCCAACCCCGTAGAGTTGAATGTATGAAGTGCAGGTCTCATGCTCTTCCTTTGCACCTCTTCATTTCTACTTCGTCAACTACTGCTGCACATTGCTTTAGCTGGTTCTAGTGTGTTTTAAATACCTGAAATCGTCCTCAGATCTATCCTTCTGTCAACTGTCGCTACCTTGCTTCTGTTTTCCTGACACCCAGTACCCTCACATTATCTCTTCGTCTCTCTCTGAAACCTATCCTGGGGATCTTAGCCATCCGGAACTCATGGATCAGAATGCAGCTGAACGCCTGAAGAGGCTCCAAATGGTAGGTTGTGTGTTTCCAACGACCTGTTCCTCCGTCTTTTGTTCGATTGCCCGCAGCTACTGACATAACTCGCCTCCACTCAGGACGACCTCGGCACGGCCAGACGAGAATTCATTTCAACCAAAGATGGCCCACGACGAGTGCTGAATGTGGGATTGGAAACCATAGAAGCAAGCAGAGAGTCCAACCAACCTGGAACGAAAGCCCAGCTCATGGCGCAGAAGAACAAGGCCCAACTCGCGGATTGGTCGAGTAAGTGCATCCTCCAGTGCTCCTCGCCCGACCTGCGTTCTATTGAGTTTCTGGTTCTTCGCTAATTCGAATTCAAAGATATCCACAAGACAATAGGTGATACTGGAGACCTTGAGAATCTCGATAGTCTTCTTGATGGCCAGACTCATCGTCTTGGGCTCGCTGCTTTGTTACATTCGAGGCCACATGACTTTGCTCCAATCAGGGGAGGTATGAGTCGTGGGCGTGGTGGAGGCGTAGCAGGGACTCGAGGTCGTCAGGGGAAGCCAAGTGTATCGAAGTAAGTCAACTCACCAAGAGCCATATTACCATCAAAAACTAACGCACGAGACATTGATGATAGGGTTCTCGGTCAAGGAGGTGTCTCGAAATCTGGCAATCATGCTTTCAAAATAGATCAGAAGCAGACTCGTGAGGTCTACTCGTATCCAAACCCGTCTTCATTGCTTATTTGCATTCTCTAGGTGCTCGGAAGCCGATTCCTAACCCACTAACCAAAGTTCGAAGACCCATGTAAGCTACCTTTTTGTTGCCTCAAAAACCATCTGACTCCTGTCTCCAGGGTTGACTATTCCTCGAAAATCAGTCCCCCTGAAGATTTTATGGCTGCTGTTCAGGGTCTAGTCAACGCGAAGACTGCTTGCATAAACTCCACTGTTGCACTAGAGATGTCTAACGGTAATAGTTCGAGACCAAGCCAATTGCCTCCTGCAAAGGAAATACCAGGTCAAGTCCCATCTCGCCCCACGCAGCCTGCTCTTGCAGTAGATCATGGCCCAAGCCAAAGGCCTCCCACCGTGACTAGAGCCCTGGGTCAAAGACCTCCCGAAAAGTCGCTTCCTCCTCAAGCCCAAGCGCCTCGAGCTCTTGCTCAAAAGCCTCCATCTGCGACATACAACGAGTCGAATCAACCTCTTCTCAGAAAGCCATCACTTTCGGAATTCGACATATCGAGAGATTCAAGCAAAAGGACACCTTCTTCCACGATCACCACAGACCAGAGCAATCCTCAGAAACTGGTTCCAGCTTCTGACGCCATGAAGAACCCAAGACAGACACAGTCGACTGCGACGCTGAAGGCGAACCAGACACCACCCAAGGATACTGTGCATCCTGTCACAGTGACAATGAAAACTGCTCCTGTTGCTTCCAATCTGAGCAAGGAGTACGCACTGAGGTCCAACAACACTTCTGTGCAATCACAGGCTGCTGCACAAACACTCCCGACTCTGAACTCGCAGTTGTCCAAACCCTCAACTGCGCCATTACTGCGGGATGAAGGGCCTCTGCCTAAGAAGCCAGCAACCAAGGCTTATGGCAAGCCTCCATGTCAACCGGGTAACAAAGCCAATCGGGTTCCAGAGAAGCGAGGCACTGCAATGGAGGCAATTCCAGTGAACAAGGTGGTCGTCAAATTACCTCCTAGCGAGTCAACTTTCAAGCCAAATGTCCATGTCCCAGTCACGCTCAAGAAGGCCAAACCACTCGAGAACCTTGTGGCCGAAGGGAGTGAGGAGAAAGCACCTCCGGCGGTGGCTTGTGGGGAGCTTCTTGATCTTGATGGTTCTCCGTCACCCGAGGATGATTCGGCTGAACAGGGTCCGGTCGCTACAGCTGTAATGAGTCCCTCCTGTCAAGATCTGGAGGGGTTGGTATTTCGGCAGGGCATTACACGGTATCCTACTCAAGGAGGCTCGACCTCTAGTGAAGCTTCGTCAACACCGACTAACTTTACGGAAACCACACGAGCTATTCTTAGTCAAATTATGGCCAACGCCGAGTCTATGACCGATGAGGACAAGCAGGTGGTTGAGCGCAAAGTCGAAGAGCTTCGCAAAGGACTGAAACTTTTCTCTGTATCAGAAGCAGGGCGCCAATTTTCCAATGAAATGTTCGAGAGAGGAAGAGAAGAGTTCAGCTCCGAGCTCAAATCCGAACCTGAGTCCGGTTATCAACATTGTCATACATGCCAGGAAAACCACAAAGCTCATGCTCATATGTCGCCTGAGACTGTCTCGGTGCTCACAGCTAAAATGACATTTAATGCAGCCTTGGGTGTAGAGGACCCCTTGACACCCCTTGCACATAAGTCACAGACCCATCGTTCTGTTTTCCAGACACGCCTCAAGGGCACTGCGCCGCCATTTGAGCCAAAGAAGCCTTACTCTCCAGTAAGCAGCACAGCTGAACCATTAACCACTGAGCAGGAGCGTCAGGAGTCTTGTATCACTAAGGCTGTCCGTCATTTGTACGGCAACCATCTACTTCCCGGGAGGTCTGGAAACCGGCCTGGCAACGGTAAGTTCTTATTCCTTCTTGTCTTTCGAATCCCGGGCAGTATTGCTTATGTTGGCACTTGCTGTCAGCTTCCGTCTTGGAGAATGTGAAGGTCCCAGCATTTAAAGGGCGATTCGATCAAATGACTCCCGCATCTACTCCCGTCAAACCGAACTTGACATCTCCACTTCTTTCGCAGACGGACGCGATCTCAGCCTCCCCTGCACTACAGAGATCTATACACGCCCCAAGAGTTTCAGAGAACAGGTCACCAGCATCTCGGACTCCCTCGAGGGGACTGGATAGTTCCAGGTATGCGACGCCTGCCCTGGACAAGCCTCTACGCTGAGCTTCTCGCAACCAGCACCCACCATCGCTACACAAGGTCTGTACCGTTAGCCGATTCACACTCACTCACCTCTTGCCTGCATGAGCTAGCGTTGAGGTCTATCCGCATAATATCCCCTATCTGTTTCTTCTCCCCCGCCCGAAAACGAAGCTTTTGATGGCGAACACGCAAGCTACATTTGTTTCGATGCTGCCATATCTTACAGCAATTACTTAATTGTCTATTTTCTAGTGATGTGCAAAGCCTGTATGGAAGGGCTAGAAAAGTATTTTCTTTGTAAATCCAAAGCAAACTGGCCAGTGAGCAGATTCCATTGAGCAAACCAGTTCATTTGATTCCTGTGATCATTCCCATTCCCTGTAACGCCAATAATCCATAAAATTTGCCCAGTCCGAGTAATGATCGCGTGCCGTTGATAGAATTCGCCCTCTATCTATAATAGAGTACATAGAGAAAAGACCATTGCTACCGTTACTGCTGATGATGTTGCTGTGGCGGTTGCTGAGGTTGCTGCTGCTGCTGCTGCTGCTGCTGCTGCTGGGGTGGAACCTGAGGCATTCCACTTTGGTTCATCCGCGGTCTTTTCGGATCCATGACCCCAGCTCCTCCCGGAGCAGACCCGCTGCCGCCCGAGGCCTGAGCATTCGTCATATCCGACAAGGGAGGCCGTTTCCCATTGGCATTCTGATGAGCCACAGGCCCGCCGCCGCCGGGCAGTGGTGGACGGTTCGGCGGTGCGGCGGTCCCATTCCGGGGATCGAGGTTCGGACGGGTCAAGGGTCGATAGGAAGACGTCGTCGACGGGCCTCGATTCATCATGGGGCTGCCGACGTTGTTGCTCCCGGGGGCCCCGATCTTCCGGTGCATGTCCTGCGAAGGGTTGATGAAGTCCCGCGCCGCCGCGGCGGGGTTGCCACCGGCCGCGGGCGATGCGTTGTTGTTGCCTCCGGATAGCATGGGTTTGGAGATGGGTTTGCTGGTGCTGTGGTCGAAGCCGGCGGTCTTGCGGATGGATGGACTCTCCGCGTGCGGGTCGAAGGCCGGCGCCGCGGCGGGGACCCCGCCGTGCGGGTTGTCTCGGAGGAGATCGACGGCGCGCGCGGAGAAGAACGAGGCGGAGGGGGTCCCCGGCGGAAGGGATTCGGGGATACCTGCCGTCATTCTTGTTGTCGATGGGGCGCCGGGTTCACGTTTGATGGGGACGGACATCGGGCCGTTGTTACCACCTGCGGGCCCGGCTGCTGTTGCTGTTACCGGTGCGGGTGATGCTGCTGTAGGCACGGATGGAGGGGGAATCATTCTGCCATTCTGAAAGTTTGGTCGGGGCCCTGTAGGTGGCATGGGCCTCTGTTGGTCGCCAGTTGCGGGGGGATTGGGGCGTCCGTTGAACGGCTGTGGAGCAGGATACTGTCTGGGGGCTGGGGGCTTGGATGGCGTTACCATCGCCGAGTTAGGTCTGATGGGTCCCCGGTAGTTGTTATTGTTGTTGTGAAAAGGTCGCTGATGAGTGTTGAGTGGAGTGGGTGGTTGCTGTGCCCGCTGTGATTCTGGTCCTAGCACAACCTCGTCTGGATTGCCCGTTTCGGTGACGCCGAAATCAGCTTCGTCAAACAGATCGCCTAGCGCGCAATAATGTTAGTGATCAGCCTTCGGGCAAGTTGATTGAGAGTGATAATAGCTGCGTACTTCCAAATTCGCCGTCGCCGTCGAAGGCCATTGAATCATCGAAGTTGGGCCGCTTTGCGACAGCCGTTGGACGCGGCGGCAGATCATCGTCCTCTGGTGATGGTTTGGGTTGCACGGGTTCTTTCTTGATAGGAACAAAATCTGGATGTCGATGTAGCTCATCGACATCCCATCTGGCCTAAAGTTGAAGAATGTCAGCAGAGGCGAGGTTTTCCTTGGTGAGGGTCGTCGCATACCGGCGCGGCTTTCACTTTGGTGACTTTTGACACATAGTCCTTGTCGTAGATACAGTTGCCCAGGACATTGCCGAAGTTTCGTAGCGCACGCTTGAGCGCATCTGTGGTGCCTTCTTTCTTTGCCTTTTCGAAGGCAGCTGCCTTGCCCTTGCAATTCTCGATGTGGCCGTACCCGATGTCCTAAGAATCGTTCCTTGTCTTAGAACCCGTGTATTGACTAATGCATCGCCACTTCCAAGGGCATACCTCATGATAAGTGCCATCTTTCAAGGTGACTCTCACTATTACGGAGAGACCCAGGCTGATTTTACCAGTGTTTTGACTCTCTTCAACCTATTGATTGGAGCGTATTAGTCATTGACCTGAGACAACATCTGTGGCCAAAGGGAGATCTGAAGAGGGGGCATACAAAGTCGATCTGAATGTTCTGAATCGAGCTCGACCATCCGTTGAACCCGAAGACCTCATTCGCAAGATTGATACATTTGTCAGCCGAGAGATAATGTACGCGCTGTCCCGCAGCACCAGGCCTTGACGAGATATATTCGGGCCCCAATTTCTTGTCGAGACGTGCTTGCAAGGTCGCGATCTCCTGCGCGGTGTATTCGCTGATACGTCGTTGTGGTTCTTCAAATGGGTTGGCGGAGAGACTCCCACTTGAATTGGGCATCGTGATGGTAGCTGGGCCGCCCCGGTGCTGGTCGCCAACACTAAAGACGCGCGGTCAGTCAGTGTTGGCTTCGTCGCGGCTTGACAGGTATAAGAACACTTACGCGGGCATAGCAAAGTTAGGTTCTTGTAGATGCTTTACCGAGGTACTTCATCCAGCAACAGTCCTCCGTTAAGCTTGTAATGACTGATGAAAGGATCCAATGATGCTATTGCCCCCGACGTGTCGAGGCGCGCCGGATGCCGACACGGCTTTATCGCGATGTCACGTGATGATAATCGCAACGCAGATAACAATGGAAGGTGTCAACTAGTGCCAACGATCATATGCTATCAGTTGCTGATTGAGGGTGGGTGAATGCGCCTAAAGAGAGAAGGTTTGACAGCTATTTGCAGTCTGGCCGGTTGAATCAATGTGGTTGTTACTTTGGCTTGATTCTGAAGGAGAAGAAATGATGTTTGAAATTATAGAGGCAGGCAGCATTAGGCAGCCTTCGGCTTTGCCACACTAACGCTCCAACGCAGCCAGATTACTATCACTTTGCCGTCATTTGACTCGATCTCTCCTGCCCTCAATGTGTGTTTCTATCGGAGAATTTAGGTGGCAAGAGAATATAAACCAGAATGAAACCCTTCAAATCACTGAATCACAAGACTCGCGCTCGGGATTAGCCCCAGATCCTTCAAAGATTCACCGAAGAACTCCGCATTGTATACTTTGCGAGGGAAGTTCTGAACGAAGCTCTGTACCTCAACTCCATCCTCCTGCTTGAGAGCCGCGGCAACTTCGAACAGGGTAGTTGTCACAGGGACCGTCTTCATGATATTGCCCTTGGGCGTTTGGAATCGCAGACGAGTTTCCGTGTAGGCCGATGCAGGCTTCGAGGCGACTGGGCCGGATGTCGTGGCTGCTGGGGCTGGGGCTGGTTGCGCAGGAGGTGCCACACCAGCTCTCTCGGCTTTCTCACGCTCAGCCCGGAGTCGGCGCTCTTGTTTGTCCGCCTCAATCCTGGCTTTGACCCGCTGTTTCGCTTCGATGTCTGCCATCTTGTCCTTCTTCTTTTGTTCCGCTTCCTTCAGCCTTTGTTTCCTTTCCAGCTCCTCCTTGACGTCTTGTGAATCCTTGTTAGCTTTCCGCCGGATTTCCTGGGATGAAACCTGGTTAGTTTGAACCACATGGTCTGGCAAGGACAGTAGTGCGCGTACCTCGTTCCTCTTCTGGTCAACCTTATCCTGCTCAGACTGCACCGCTCGCTTGGCGGCCAGCCTTTCTCTGAGCTCCTGGAGTCTCGCTTGCCGTTGCTCATCAGTCAGTGGCGCAAGCTCCTCCGTTGACTCAGAGAAGTCGGTATGTTGGGATTTTGAGGCGTGAAATTCAGCTTGGGCGTGGCTTCGGAATTTCTTGCCGCACTCGTTGCAGACTAGACTGCGAGCCTCTTCACCAGGCGCAAGTGCAGGGCCTTCAGCCTCTTCATCTTCCTTGATTTCACCGAGCGATTTATCTTGGTTCTTTTCGAGCCATTCTAGAGCACCCTGCACTAAAGTGGTGAAAAAATGAAGCACGTCAGCAGTCGGCGACAGCAGAGGGCCAGAGGGAAAATCGTACGTCCGGTGCCTTTGGCGACTGCAAGCTGTGCTCTCTCCTTGTCAAAGCCCATCTCAATGAGCTGGTCTAGATCGGAGGCCATGGTCGCACGGGGTGGGTGCAATAATTGCTGATCGAAGCGAGAAATTCGAATGGAGCGAGAGGGAGAGCCCAAAGGCGGGGTAATGAAGGCGGGGGTTTAGCCGGGGCAAAGTGGCAAGCAAATGGAAATGTATTACAACCTTTTATACCACTCAATATAGTGAGAAAGATAAGCAATAAAAGGCAAGCTGCTATCGCAAAAGGTGGATGAGGTGGATGAGGGGAGGTCAACAGTGAGGGTGCGGGTGACGTATCGACAAGCTCGGGAGCGGAGCGGAGGAACAATCAATCAACTGCGGGATGACCCGCCAGCTAAGCTCGAAAGTTGAGCCAGTCCCAGGCTCGTTCCTCGGCCCACGGTCTGGACTCTGTCAGTCGATGGTATTTGACTACTTATACATACTTCGCACCTCAGAGAAACACCCATTTTCTCGTCAAGGAGCGTGAAGTCTTGGTGGTTCCTGGCATTTTTGCTTGGGCCACAAATGCAATCTCCGCAGCCTGCGTGAGGATTCTACTTCTATAGATAAATCTCGCCTGCGCAGAGAGAAAAAAACGGCCGCAATGACTTATCACTACAGTCGACGAGAGAGTACTATGATTAGTAGATGCTCTACGATGTTGATGACTAGTTAAACCAGTTTTGTCCAGGATTTGCGAACGTAGGACGAAGATGTCCCAAGGTTGGTCACTCGAAGCAGGGCGAATCCCGTTCGAAGTCCCATCCAGTTAGAAGACGCTGCTGACACCAGAGGATTGTGGCTTATTTCACCAGACCTGGATCCTGAACCGGTACTTCGAGATAGTTGGGCGGAATCTTTTAACAAATCAAGGCCTTCGGCTTCTTTGGCTTTGTCTATGTTCTGTTCTCTCCTCGGCCACGTTTGACTGCTGGGCCCTAGCGCAAAGAGTCGTAGTCCTACCTACCAGCTGCACCTTAGCTGAGTACACGTTGTTGCCGGTAGTACTAGGTAATCTGTAAATCGTCTCATGATATCTAGCGGTGAGTCGTCGCAGGCCAATAGTGATGCTTTGTTGACGGGCCCAAAAAGAATCGGTGTGTGAAGCTGATTGCCATCAGAGGACCACCTACCTCTTGCCGGGTCGTTCCTCGTTATCTTGGGCTGTAAGGTTCGAGAACCGAAGCAGTATTAAGGCGAGACCGCGCATTCCAGAGATGATCATGCCTGAAGGATCAAGGCATGGGTAAACCCGTCGCGTGCAATCGGCTGGGCTATAATGTCCTCTGCGGGTTCGTGGAAGATCAACAATGCATGCAAGATATTGGCTTCTATTGACTGACAGGATGAGATATCAGTATCAAGACCAGGTCAAACGGTACTGTGGTAGAGAGTAGTATTTTTAGACGATGTCAAGCAGTGGATCCCGAATCTATGGACCCAGACAGGCGTGGCCGATAACTGATGGAGCCGGTAGATCTGTCCAAAATGTCCGATCGCAACAGCCCATGAGCATTGCGGTGCAGCAGCGACGAAGCCGACATATGAGTCTGTAGTATGAGCCGTGACTGAATACGGAGTACTACTGCCTAGAATGCAGGTACTGGCCACGAATGATGCCTGAAACACCATGTCAAACGCCTTGATGACATCACCTGACCTGGACCTCCGTGGCCGTGCTGAGTCAGCGTGTCCCCGGCCCAACCAGCAGCAGTTGCGATGCCGAGTCCAACTCATTCATCATTACTCCGTACTATTCCAGCCTCTCCTCACTCTTCTTCCCCCAATTCCAATTGCGCCTAAACATATATTCGCCCCGTCGTTGAGTTGGTTTGACCTTCTCCTTGTGAATCTCTTGCTGAGACATTTATCTTCTTAATATTCTCTTTGTCAGGTAAATTCTCTCCGTCAGTCCTCCGCACTCCCCGTTGGCTACTTCTAACCTGGCTGATTCTCTTTGTCACTCTAGCGCTCTCCCTCCTGTAGACAGGAAGACTCTCCCGCCGCCCTGTTCAGCCCGTCCCTTGGTACCTACACCACTCCTTATCCGCGCAACCCCCTTTCTCCCCGCTCGAACTACCTCTACGCCGCATATTCGCTATGTCTATCATTCTCGATCCCCCGGAGTTGGGCTTTCAGCGTGAGCAATACTCCCTCTCCCCTGGTCGAGCTTCTATACCAGCCATGGACCGCCCCGCTCACCGGTTCCAGGTCCCTTCAACCGTGAGGTGTGTCAGATGTTGCACCTGAAGAACGAGAGTGCGGAGCCTGTCGTCTTCAAGGTACGTATACGAGCCGGATCAGAATAAAAATGGCGAGCAAACTAACAAGCTCCCGTATACTAGGTCAAAACTACCGCCCCTAAGCAGTACGTGGCCAGTCCCTACTCCACACCCCTGAGTAACCGATACGTTTGAATCACAACTGACTGAGGGCCAGCTACTGCGTTCGTCCCAACTCCGGCCGGATAGATCCTGGCAAACATGTCGATGTCCAAGGTCGGTCTCACTGGGCTCCATTTTCAAACCCCTTCACTTGGCTTAATGTCTGACAAGTTCGATAGTTCTGTTGCAGGCCATGAAGGAGGAGCCTGCGCTAGATGCCAAGTGCAAGGACAAGTTTCTCGTTCAGACAGTCGCGGTCACTCGTGATATGGAGTTCGCCAATGTTACCTCGATTGTTGGTTTTCCGCCCTCCCCCAGGCGCCCCCCAGATTCTAGTACAGAGCATCACCTAACCGGCGCAATAGTTTGAGAAAGCCCCCAAGACAGCACTCCAGGAGCGCAAAATTCGTGTGAACTGGCTGGCCGCCGATGATGCCCCAGTTGAGGAACAAGGAGTCGAGGCGACTGGCGTAAGTTGTCATTTTAGCCCCTTACTTTCCTCGTTCGTCACTTCTTTGGCTAATTACGCTGCGCAGAATGTGCCCGATGAAGAACCTCCTGCCTATACCTCGCCGCCGAACCCCAACTATCAGACTCCTGCTGCCGCGCTTACGAAGAGCGCGAACGACACGTCACCCATCCCACCGCCAGATTTCAGCGACAAGCCCAAGCGGGAAGTCTCCACCCCGCAGATCATCGAAAGCTCGGCCACGTCTTCAAAGTCACCCGTAGCAAGCGCTAGCGAAGACTTGAGAGCCCAATTGTCCGAGGCAAATTCGCAAATCTCAGCGCTGAAGGAGAAGTTGGCAGATCAGGGTCTGAGACAGCGAAAGATCGGAACCGATGCCGAGAAGGTGCCCGCGCCTTTGGCGCAACAGCAGCCACAGTCCGTGGAGGCTGGTGTGCCCGTGCAGATCGTGGCGGGTCTATGCCTGCTAAGCTTCTTGATCGCCTACTTCTTCTTCTGATTGTCTTGATCCCTCCCCTCTTTGTGTCCACTCTTTTTGAATTTCCTTTCCTGTGACCCCCTTTTCCCATCATGTTTCTTTACAGACCAACTGTATTCCCTTCTGCCAATTCCCTTACTTTACTACGTCAACAACAACAGCAGTGGTACGGTGCTATTATTTATTCGTTGTGACAGCCCGTTTATCCTTCTTCATGGTCGTTCTAATTCGGCCCGGTCTCCCCATGCCGTTTTCTTCAACTTGAGCAAGCACCCTTTTTTCTTTCCATTGTCTTGTTACTTTTTTTCATATTTGATGATATGATGTAAATGGAGGCAGAGTTCTTGTTTCAGCCAGACATGAAAACTTGAGATTCCATCGTCCAAGGTCGCGGCGACTTTAAACTATGCTTGCGACATCTGGCCGCTGATAACACACACATTCCACATTTGACACCTTCCGGTACAATATGTCCCACGTGCCATCAGGTCGCGAGCCTTCCCGGCTTTGAGTTTGTCGGGTCATGACTCTGTGGTCTTCGACTCTCCTCAACCACATTTGTTTTTTCTTCTTCTCTTCTCGTTGCCTCCAGCCCTCCACCTTGTTCGATGAGCGAGAACTTTTTTTCTTCTAGACGGAATTCAAGCGTTCCTGAACCAGGCAGTGAAACCCCACTGAGCTAATTACGATGATGCCACACCACGAATGTTCATAAATCCTCGCCGGGGATTCAGCCCTTTTGTTCTTCCATGCTGCTTCCAATATTGTTCCAATAGCTGATAGTTCCATGATAATGAATCTCTCTCCGAGCTATGGGTTACTTTCTTATGCGTTTGTTTGGGGCGATAGTCGTGATACAGATATCTGTTGCAAACCAGAAAAATCTCATCTTATTCATGACCATGACTCGGAGACCCGCACACGAAGTCTGTGGAGAAGAGAACCAGAGCTGAAGGCCAAACGGGTCATGTCTAATTGTAGGTATACATAGTGGGGCGACAATTCACAAGGGCAGTGCGGCGGGATTTCCATCACTCAATCAACAAGTGGCGTATACAATGACATGAGGCGGGTAGATAGATGGTGGGAGCACGAAATCAGTTCTGGATCTCGCTTTCCTTCCATCCATCCCCGGATTCCTGCGGACCAGCCGACGAGGAAGCCGAGATGCCCTCTCCACCACGACCATTGCCACCTCCGCCACCCCCTACAAGACGACCACCCTGCGCTCGCTTGACGCGACACCACATGCCCACGTTCTTATCCAGGATGAACGTCCAGATCACCCACACCCAGCTGTGGTGGCAGGGCAGGGGCTCGTAGAACTCCTTGGCGATGCGGTGCAGTTCGTGCAGTCTGGTCCACGGGATCGCGGGGAAGTCGTGGTGCTCGTTGTGTAGGCCGACGTTGTAGGTGAAGAAGTTGAGGGGCCCGTAGTAGGAGTATGTTTCCGGAGGCGGGAGGGAGTCCAGCGGATGCGGGGCCGCCGTGGTGGACTTCTCCTCTTTCGGGTTCTGGAGCTCCAGGAGGGATTCGGTGCCGTGCGGTACCTGCGAAAAGAAGTAGTGCTCCGCGATGAAGTGGCCGGCGCACGGGTGGAGGGAGCCGGCGAGGAAAGAGCTCATGAGGAGGTAGAGGACGGGTTGGATGGAACCGCCGCAGAACTGGATGAGGAAGTAATCGAAGGAGAGCTGGACGGCGAGGTTGAGGAGGTGGATGTATGTGAAGGGCGGGCTGTAGATGAACATGGGCCGGACGGCATAGAAGAAGATCTGAAAGGTGCAGAAGAATGCCTTGCCCAGGAGCGAATCCAGGAAGAAGGCTTCCACGGCGGTGGGGAGATCGGTATCCAGACCGGTCACACCGAGGGACTTGTGGTGGGTGAGGTGGTAGGGCTGTGTATGGGAACACGATGGAGTTTCACGTTAGCAATCCTGTATATGGTCACGTCGCCACACTCGGTAAACGACCTGTCATGAACGTGCGGGAGCTTGTTTGAGGTTCGGGGTGGCCACATACCCTGAAGGCAGCACTGTAGGGCAAGCCAATTGGAAGATTGGCGAAGATCGCCAGTAATCTATTTGCTATTGCGGACCGGAAGGCAAGATTGTGTGAGATCTCATGAATCGCGAGGAAGAGGTTCTGGTTGGAAGTGGCCCCAATCACGTATGCAGTTGCGAGGAATTTCCAGGACAGCATGGAAGTATTGCGGAGGAGGTAGGCGCAGAGGATTTGAAGAGAAACGACTCCCAGAACGACATATTTGGTCAATGGCTCCGGTCCACAGAGCTTGGTGACCTGAATACAAAAACGAGAGTTGTTAGTATTGACCGCCTGGCAGGGAAATTGGAATGAGTACGAAGCACCTCTGGATGGGCTTTGATGATAGCCAATCGCCTCGATCGATGGGGCTCTTCCGTATAGGTCCAGAAAAAATGATCCTCGACAGCTGACTTCTCTGGTGGCGCAATCCTCACGGAGGGCTGGCCATCGTGTGCTGTGGCCTGGGGATCCTGGCTCTTGGCCGCGGACACGCGGAGATGCGGCGAAGATCCAGCCGTGGCCGCTTCGACAACAGAGGAGGACATACTGAAGAGGTCGGCAATTGGGGAGGGGAAGGATGAAAAGAGGTTGGTTTTTCAATGGCTACTGGGCGCCATGGATGAATAAGAAGTAAGAAGAAGAAGGGAGACAAAGAAGTAAGGGGGGAGGGCGCAAGAGTGCAAGGTGGAAAGAAAAGTGATCTGATTAAGCAGGAAGCTGAGAGGACGGTCCGGAGGACAGCCTTTCCACGTGGGGCTACCCGCATCCCGACTTATGGTTTGATCCTCTCAACTCTTGTTTACAAAAAAAACAAAAAACATTGCTCAAGTGAGTGAAGACGGGTCGATGATGACCCTAAAAATGCCGGTACTGTTCATTCTTTTCCTACACAACCTTGTTCTGTGTTTTCTATATATGCTATTTAAGCAAACATGTCGCATGCCGTGGCAAAATTCATTGGCATAAAAAGACCCATCTTAGTAGTCGTCTCCGCGACTGATCACCTCCTTTACATTAGGTCGGAGGACGATGGTCTATGAAAAGGTCAGCGTGGGTTCAAAGGAGTACTAGCGACACTCTAGTGGAGAACATACATGTTCGTACTGGGCGGTGTAAGAGCCCTTGATATCGCAAAGAGGGGGGTAGTCCTGAACAATGCCCGACTGCACCAGGTTGTTCAGCTGTAAGGTCTGTTAGCACTCGTCCGCTATCGCAATGCTGTCGAAATGCCTACCCCAAGGAGGTACTTGTCTTGGCCCAACCGGTCGAGGTACCGACGACAGAAGGGAAGAGTTCCAAAATTCTTGTTGATAACGTTCAACAGGTTCTTGGCGGAAGAAAGACGCAAAGGCACCGGAGCAGCGTTAGGGACCAGAGCGTAGTGAGAGGTTTCCATCTAGGCCGCAGTCGTCAGTAAGCATGTAGATCGACTCGGATACGAAGCACTCACATCCTCGTGCACATAGCCCTTTCCGGTACTTCCAAAGGTCTCGATGGCGAAGACTTCACCCTCCTCCATCTTGGTCTGATCTCCGCCCTTGACAATGGGAACGCTCTTCCCACCGTGGATAATGTGTTGGTCAATGTTGTGACCGTTGAGGTTTCGAATACATTTAACGGGGTGCATAGTTCCGTTGATCTCGCATTCGTAGCTCTCCATGACTTCCTGAATAGCGGCACCGATGTCACTCATGCGAACATCAATACCGGCTTCCTATTTCCCCCAGAAACCATTAGTTCAATGTGTGGAGCAAGGTCATTCGGGGCACTGCAGCCATACCCGGATACCAGTGTTGGTGGCGTCCTTGACAGCCGCCAGAAGAGGGTCATAGACCGGATCAAAGGCAACGGTGAAGGCACTGTCGACAATCCGTCCGTTGATGTGAGCTCCAAAATCGACCTTCATGACATCGCTCTCCTGCAACACCATCTTGTTGCCCGCATTGGGGGTATAGTGGGCGGCACAGTGGTTGAGACTCAGACCACACGGGAAACCCATACCACCCTTGATGTTGTCACCCTCCTCCAGGCCCTGGTGGCCCGTCAGAGCACGAACAGCGTCCTCGATGCCCTCGGCGATTTCCGTCAGAGTCTGGCCGGGCTTGATGTTTTTCTGTGCGTACTGGCGGACCTGGCGGTGCACTTCAGCACCCTGGCGGTACTCCTGCAAGAAGTCATTGTTCATGCGGTCGAGATAGCGCTTCTCCTCGTTGGTAGTGCGGTAGGAGTTTTCATTCTGGTACTCGACAATCTCTCCTTCGGGGAACTGGTTGTTCGGGAACAAAGTCGAGATCGGAACGCGCGGAGGAGAGCTCTGGACCTTGGCGCCACCCTTCTTCTTCTTCTTGGACTTGCGCTTCTTCTTTTTCTTGGCGGCTGCAGTTGCAGATTTGCGCTTCTTAGTATCGGAAGTCTTGAGGTTGTGGAAGTTGTCTGGGGAGAAGCGGGAGATCCGTACCTCCATTAGCTGCGCCTTCAGCGCCAGCGTTGTTATCCTCGACTTCATCGTCGTCGGAATCATCCTCCGCCTCTCCGGTTCCAGCCTGACCAGCGGCGGGAGCGTCGACCTTCGCATCGCCGCTCTGACCGTTGACTAGTGGCGCGGGGAAATCTTATCAGTCACATGCCGGGACGAGGAGACATGGGTCGGAGAAAAGTGGGAATCTTTACTTACGGTCGAGCTTCTGCAGCTTTTCACTAGCCTGGGCAGCCATGTTGAAAAGCTGGAAAGAAACCGGGTGTGGTATGAGTTGAAAAGAGAGAGGGGGTAGGGAAAGAGAGGGGAAATTGAAGTTCGGCGGAGGCGACGGGGGGAAAAGACGGTCGGTGCCAAGACTTGCTCAGAATAATTAAGGATGATTTGACGGCAAACGGCAAATTCGGCGATGCACCAACTGGCAACTCATCCGTGTAGTGACTACAGAGTGCTGTTTGTAGTACTCATGTGCAACTACTAGGTAGTTCGTCCGTGTATATGCAATGACAATAGGAGAGAGTGTGTGTTGATTTTTCGTATAAGTGATCTCATATGTCCAACCTGGGTTTTAACAATTTGGCAGACAACTATAACAGATCCATTCAGCAAGACATCAACGGTATAGTTAGTGAATAGTGTCAACGGAGCTCAAGGAAGGCAAGTGCTCAAAGATGGACTTCAGTCGCATCGAACGGCAAGACACCCAAGTTGCCAATATACAAGAGATATCTCAGACCACTTCAGCCACGGTTCATAGACCAGCGTCGCAAGTCATCCGCAAGTCCCCCTCACAGTGAAATATCAAAAGCCCGTTCCTCAATGGCCAGGGGCACGGAAGAAGCCCGAAGCCATGACAATATCGGAAGGAGACATTTGACCACGGGCAGGGATCTGAGTAACCCAGCATCCATGTATTAACTAGCATCAGTGAAGTTAGATACAGAGACGAAAGCCCCTCGTGTTTCCTGGAGTCCAGCCCTACCATACATACATTATGTACAAATAGTAGGCCGGTTACAGTAGTTAGTCCTTGACTAGCTTCGATCAGATAAGCCACCCGATGACGCATGGCAGCAGCCCGCACTTCCGAAGAACAGGGGCGGCGGATTTTCGTCCCCCTCAACAACCTCTCCACCCCTACTACAAACACATCATATACCTATCTCCCTTGCTCTCCAACTGTCCTTGAGTGACTGGCATAACTCAACCTGCACCTCATACATCGTTACATGTACTGACCACCGTGAATTGCGGGAAATGTCACATCCTCGTCTGCGGGCCGCCGCATCCTCCTTCATCCACCGTCAATGCCGCTATAGCAACCCTCGACCTCAACCCCGAACAGCATCAGCAGCATCATCTTCGCCATTCGCTCACATCCACACATCTCACCCTCGCCTACACCCTTACAAAAATGTCTCAACATCACAACAACAACAACAAACCTCCTCATTCTCCACCACAACCCACCATCACGCCTCCGCCCGCGAACCAACCTACTACGAAGTCCTCGACATCCCAATAACCGCCTCCCAAGGCGAGATCAAAAAGTGCGTAGCGCTGCGTTGCGTTTCCTCCCCCC